ATATGATACATGTCTTTCTCTGTTTGACTTATTTCGCTCAACATAATACCCTCCAGTTCCATCCACGTCGTTGCAAATGGCAAGATCTCATTCCTAATCATCCTGTCTCTAGTCCTAATAGCTAACAGGTGGTCCAGAGATTCAGCAGGAAACCAATCTTACCTGAGTATTGGGCAAAGCTAAGGAGAGAGGACTTTATGTTTAACCCTTCTTAGCAGAAGGGAGATCTGAATCTTTTTGAGGGTAAGAAACAAGTGGGGCAGGAGGAGGGCCATATTAATGGAGCCACAGGGAAGTGTATTGATTCCTTGTACTCAGAATAGTTTTCCTGGGGGGACTCTTAAGGATAAGGAGATCTAGACTAGACACACATTTATGGAACCGTTTGGGGAGGAGCGTGAGAAGTCACAAGGAGCAGGCAGTGAATATGGTCCTTCTCAGTTTCATTGGTTGCTCCATTCCTTGCTGCCTTTAGGGAAGATCTGAATTTGGACTCCTTCTGGATATCTGCTTGGTGCTCTATTTTCATGAAGAGGAAGCCACAAGTGCCAAGATATTAGGCTAGTATCATGTGAAATGTTCAAAGTAATAGCCAGATAAATTTAATGTGATTAAATATAATCAAGTTAGAACATAGTTGAGCTAATAGGTCTCCAGGAAGGAGACACATTGTTATGAACATAGGCCACTACAAATTGGTATATTTTAAGGAGGTAATTTAAAGTTAAAATTTGTGTAAGTAGAAGTGGAAGGGAAGGGAAATTTAAGTAAACAGAGAAGGAGCAAAATCTTGGGGGGAGGGATAAATATAAAACAGTTGAGTGTGCAAATGCCACTTGCATGGAAATGGTAGAATGAGGTCAGGAAAGTATAGTGGGGCCAGACTTTGGGAATAGGGTGACTGGAGGCAGGGGAAGCCTCTGTTAGTTCTTGAAGCATGATTGGCATAGAAGCTCTACATGCTAATGAGGCACCATGGGTCAGAAGTCATTCTTACACCCAAATGAGCATTCCCTGGGAGAACTTGCCTGGAGAGTCCCACAGTTCAGAACCTGATGCTATCTTTTATGATCTCTGCACACACTCAGGGATCCTTTCTGTTCCTGTCACTTTCAACAGACTCTTCAGCTTCTGAGTTGTTATAGAGAGGACCCTAAAGTGCATCATGACTCACACCAACCTTACCATCTTCCATCCTGCAGTTTTTGTTCTACTGGGCATCCCTGGGTGGGAGGCTTACCACATTTGGCTATCAATACCCCTCTGCCTCATGTATATCACTGCTGTCCTGGGGAACACCATCCTGATAGTGGTCATCATCACAGAACATAATCTTCATGAGCCCATGTACTTCTTCCTCTCTATGCTGGCCATCACAGACATCCTGCTGTCTACCACTACTGTACCCAAAGCTCTAGCCATCTTTTGGCTCCATGCCCATGACATTGCCTTTGATGCCTGTGTCACCCAAGTTTTCTTTGTCCATATGATGTTTGTGGGGGAGTCAGCCATCCTATTAGCCATGGCCTTTGACCGCTTTGTGGCCATCTGTGCCCCCTTGCATTATACAACAGTGCTAACATGGCGTGTTGTGGGAAGGATTGTTCTGGCCATTGTCACCCGAAGCTTCTGCATCATCTTCCCAGTGATCTTCTTATTGAAGCGGCTGCCCTTCTGCCAGACCAACATCGTTCCCCATTCCTACTGTGAGCATATTGGAGTGGCCCACTTGGCTTGTGCTGACATCACCATTAACATCTGGTATGGCTTCTCAGTGCCCATTGTCATGGTCATCTTGCACATGATCCTCATTGCTGTGTCTTACTCACTGATCCTCCGAGCAGTGTTTCGTTTGCCCTCCCAAGATGCCCGGCACAAGGCCCTCAGCACTTGCGGCTCCCACCTGTGTGTCCTCCTCATGTTTTATGTTCCATCCTTCTTTACAGTATTGACCCACCGCTTTGGACGTAACATTCCTCGACATGTCCATATCCTGCTGGCCAATCTTTATGTGGTGGTGCCACCGATGCTCAACCCCATCGTCTATGGTGTGAAGACTAAGCAGATCCGGGAGGGTGTAGCCCACCGGTTCTTTGACATCAAGACTTGGTGCTGTGCTTCCCCTCTGGGCTAATGGCTCCCCATGAATTTGCACTCCAAGCTTTATCAAGGAAACTAGGCGTGAAATACAGAGATTTTCTGGACTGAGAGGGCTTTTACTTCTCTTCCTCTTTCTCTTCCTTCTTCGTTGTCGTCATCCCCCTCCAACTGTTATTTTTTCCTCTTCCGGCTTTTCATCTTTGCCTCCTTCTCCTGTTTCTTTGTTTGCTTTATCTTCTTCTCTTCTCATATCCTTTCTCCAAAACTCAGAGATAATAACTAAGTGTTACATGCCTCTGATGTGAACATTTGGTATCTTCAGTAGACCAGACGTACTCCAGAAACACAGAGAACTGAACACAACATGAAGTGGGTTATAAGCACATGGATGAAAATAATTTTATATTTAACATCTGAAGGGGTTCCAGTTTTTTTTTTTTTAATCTCTAAATGTGCATTGATTCTTTGTACAGACTCAAGTAGCTCTCTCCTCACTTTTACAATGGCAGGTGTTTTTGAAAAACAGTCATGCATGCCCTTCAGCCATCTGGAAAACTGTTCATTCTTCAAATTTCAGATAAAGAACTACCTTCCCTGAAAACTCTTTCCTGACTTTCCAAGCAATACAAGGCTCCTATATTGGTTTATTGATTGCATCTTGTATAAATCTCAAAATGTATGTAGTGAATTGTAATAGGTTGTTTATTTATTTGTACCCCTAATTAACTAAACTCCTTGAAATCAGAAGAGTGTGTGTCATTCATATTTGTACTCCAGTGCCTTATAAAATGCCTGGCACATAATAAATGTTCGAAAACTGAGTGAGAGCACAATTACCTCCTGATGTTAGAACATGCATTTCTATTATGCACTCAAATGGTCAGCTAAATACTCCACAAACCAGTGATGAGTAAACCAGCTCCTCACAAAGTCAGTTTGGCATCAGGGAGGTAAATAAGCTGTAGATTGCAGAGCTTCTTACTTCTTACACCTTTGCTGTAACACAGGGACCAAGGAATAGACTAGAGTAGGAAGAAACAGGGCACGCTTGATTTTCTCTTCTAACCTGGCCTCTGACCCTTCTCAGTGTTAGGAATTATAGCACATTGTTCCTGGCCAGGTTAGCAACTTTGGAGTAGTCTCTTGGAGTTTAAAGTCTTGCCCCTCATTTTTTTCATGCTTTTTCAAAAGAGATCATATACACTCATTTCTTCAACCACCATTGACACAAATGAGTCCAACATCCCCCTCTCCATCCTAGAACTCTATTTTTGAGTTTTAGATGCATAAATATACCTATCAACTGGATTTCTCCTCCAAGATATAGAGCTCCCATTCAGGCTAACTTTTTCCCCCTGTTCCATTCCTTTTCTTATGAACTAGATTATGATGACTCCATCAATTTCACTGAGCTGGAAGCCCTGGGGAGTTTCTCAACTTCTTCCTCTCTGTCCTGTTCCTCAAGAAGTTAATGATTGTTACCAATATTGATTGTACCACTAAATAATTATGTGGATAATATTTGCAGTCCTGTCAGGATTAAGGCCCTATCCCTATTACTTTCTAGCTGTGTGAATGTGTGAAACATATTTAATATTTTTAGTCCTCATTTTTTTTCATCTGTAAAATGGGGATAGCAATAATACCTCATAGGGTTGTTGAGAAGATTACATGAAATAAACCATATATATACTATTTGAGAGGATGAAATGAAATAAACCATATGTATAGTACCTAATACGATCCTTGGCTCATAGTATCTGGGAAATATTTCATTAATGCTAAGTTCTTAGTATTGTTAATTTTCTTTTTAATGTTGCTCTACTAATTACTCATGTCTGTTATCATCTTTCACCTCAGATAATGCATTAGCTTCTTAATTGATTTCATTGCTTTCAGTCATTTACTCTGTAACCTAAACTATAAATTGACTCAAAGTTAAACATTCTAAAAGGCAGAGTTTCTGTCACATACTTTCAAGTAATCTTCATTACTTATAGAAGTGTTTTCCATAGAATATTCTGCAGAAATAGCAGATATCATAATAAATGTTTTATAAAAATGTTCCATGGTCAAATAAGTGAAAAATGCTGACACTGTGGGTTGTGCACATGGCTATCCAAGGGAAGGCTAGAGTTTGCAGCATATCCCACAGTAATGTGACCATAGATATTTGTATCATTTTTTTGATAGCACATCAAATGTACATTTCTAAAATAACCTAGTGTTCCATTAGCCACTGTTCAGAAATCATAGGACTACAGGGTAATTTCTAAGCCAAGCATTAACTTAATAATGTAGTCCTAACTTACTTTTCCATTTCTATCTCAAAACATACCACCATATAGCAATCTATTAGTATATAATAATATTAATAATTATAACTTAAAACAATAGCTAATGTTTATTAAGGGATTAATCTATGCTGGGAACCATGTTAAGTGCTCTGCTGCATTAGCTTATTTAATCCTTACACAACCTTATGAGATAGTACCTTTGCTATCTGTTTTATACACAGGAGCACCCAAGTTTCAGAGAGGATGAATAATGAAGGCCACTCAGCTGGCAAATGGTAGAGTATTGACGTCAATTCCTTTTTGAAGTCTTCACCAATCCCCAAGTCAGAGGTGATTACCTTGTCCTCTGGCTCTCCACAGCAATGACATTTATGTTTCAATGAATGTTAATTACTCCATGAAACCATCAGAGCTTGGGTTCTGTGAGAGCAGAGAATATATCTTACTCATCGTTATAGTTCCAACATCTAGCATAGAATTCACTATGTATATTTATGGATTGATTAATTTGAAATGTTGGTGAAGTGGTTGACTCTGGACCCTTCACTGTTAAATATTATCTAATTTTATGACTGAAAATCATTTGGACACACACATACACACCACTTAGTTCCTTCTGATCTATTTCTTCTACATCTCCACAGGTTTCTATATACATTGAGGTCTAGCAGGTATAGGCAGGGTTTCAGTGTTCTATGTATTGACTAGCAGCAACTCAAATCTGCTCAGTCCATATCTTAGCCAGAGACATGGAGTTTTTAACAGATACAGTATGTTCAAACTTTTGTAGGTAGGGCATAGTTAGATTGCCCACCCTCTCTGGTTCCTGAGTGAGTGATCTCTGGAGATTGGTCCTGCTGGGGTCTGCCTCTTTCTAATTAAACCAGATGCTCCCTAAAGACCTAGTGGAGTAGAAGCTCTCTCCTTGCCCAAGGGATTCCTGTGGTTGAGGTTCAAATACTGCCCTATTTCCCTCCTGAGTCTGCATCTGTCAGCTTCTTTCACATGTTGAGGAAGAACTTTCTCTTGAACTGGGGTAAGTTTCTGGGAAGGGGATAAATATTTTGTTCCTAGGAATTTTAGGTTTTCTTGGAATAAACTTAAACTATTGATTCAGATGAGATCCTCTGGATAGTGTAGAATAAGTACATACTATCCAGTGTGTACATCTTGACATCTTGAGCTGCTGCAGACATTTTTTACTCTGCAGGGCTGGGAGTATGACTAATATTTTTCCAGAATTAAAGTGGTTTAAAAAATATTAAACACAGGGGGCGCCTGGATGGTGCAGTCGGTTAAGCGTCTGACTCTAGGTTTTGGCCCAGGTCTTAAGATCAAGCCCCATGGTGGGCTCCGCACTCAGCAGAGTTTCCTTGAAGATTCTCTTCCTCTGCCCTTCCCTGCACTCATGAGAGTGCACACACACTCTCTCTCTCAAATAAATAAATAAATCTTTTAAAAAAAGTAAAAAAAAAAAAAAGAATACTGGAAAGTAAGTATATTAAAACCCACAACATTAAGTTTACATATACTGTTTATATAAAATTAGAATTTATTATAATTCTACTGGCTTTAATGGGAGAAACTCATAAATAATGCTTTCAAAATAAAATTAGGGAAAAAATTAGCCATTGAAAGCACATAAAAACATATATATAGGGCGCCTGGGTGGCTCAGTTGGTTAAGCGACTGCCTTCAGCTCAGGTCATGATCCCAGGGTCCTGGGATCGAGTGCCGCATCGGGCTCCCTGCTCTGCGGGGAGCCTGCTTCTCCCTCTCCCACTCCCCCTGCTTGTGTTCCCTCTCTCGCTGTGTCTCTCTCTGTCAAATAAAAAAAAAAAAAACATATATATAGGTGCTGCCATTTTCCCTTTTGCCTTGGGCTCCAATGTGGCTCAGTACAGCATGGGCAATCCTATCTTTATTTAAAATTTTGATATCTTGTTCATCATGGATATTTTGACATTTTGTACTGAGGTAAGTTCTCACTCATTTCACCTTAGTCCTGGCCTTAGGAGACTCAGCACCTGGAGGGCAGACCAGAGTCACAAAGAAATGCAGCCCCTGCTTGAATCTTTCCATAATCCCGATAGTTGAAACATACCTTTCAGTTTCAGGAGCAAAGACATTTCCCTATGTGTTCAAGCCAAAGTGAGGTGGGATTTTCTGTTACTTATAATGTAAAGTGTTGTAACTGATACAGAAGAGAAGAAAAGAATTATTTTATTTTTTAATTTGCTTTTACACTTAACGATATGCCACGACTGATACTTTTTTTCTTAAAAATGGAAACAAAACATTCTATTGTACTGTATATGCCATAATTTATTTTTTTGACCTATTGATGGATATGGAAGTTGCCATAATTTCTTTCATTATAGCAATAGTATAGCAATGAATATCCTTATAGAAATATCTATATGTTTTCATGCTGTGTCACCAGCATTGGAGGCTAATTTTTTTCTTATGTTTTCCAATTTGATAGGAAAACTATGATATTTCAATATGATAGATTTTCCTTTCTTCAAGTTTTGAGCACCTATGCATGTGTATATTGGCTGTTTATTTTTCTTGTGGTATGAATTGCCTATTTTGATTCTTTGCATATTTTTTGTTTTTTCCTCATCCATCTCTACTAAATTTTTTTATTTTATTATGTTATGTTAATCACCATACATTACATCATTAGTTTTTTTTTTTTAAGATTTTATTTATTTATTTGACAGAGAGAGACACAGTGAGAGAGGGAACACACAAGCAGGGGGAGTGGGAAAGAGAGAAGCAGGCTTCCCACCGAGCAGGGAGCCCGATGTGGGGCTCGATCCCAGGACCCTGAGATCATGACCTGAGCTGAAGGCAGTCGCTTAACCAACTGAGCCACCCAGGCGCCCCACATCATTAGTTTTTGATGTAGTGTTCCATGATTCATTGTTTGCGTCTAACACCCAGTGCTCCATTCAATACGTGCCCTCTTTTCTACTAACTTTTAATATTTAAGGATATTAGCCTTTTGTCTGTTATGTTTTATAATTTTTTCTCCTAGAATTTTTATTTGTTTTCCTAGAATTTATTCTTGTCTACATTTTTGCATAATTACATCATTCAATTTTTACTGTCCATGAAATACCATTTTCTTAACTTACTCAGAAAGATCTTTCCAAACTTAAAAATATTTTCCTGTTTTCTCCTAAGATCTTCACTTTAATTTTTAATATTTTTAATTTTATTTTTAAAATACACATCTTTAATTTATCTACAATTTCTATTTGTTTAGTGAGTGAGGTGGGAACTAATTTTATTCTTTTACAAAAATATCATTGTCCAATATCCCAATGCCATTACTTGACTAGGCCTTCCTTTCCCTACTAACTTGAAATGATATTTTATTACATTTAAAGTTTCAAATATATTAGTTTCTGGGCTCTCTATGTAGTTGTATTGATCTGCGAGTAATAATAACTGGCATTTGTTTAGTATTTTTATGCTAGGCATTATATTAGGCAGTTTAAAGAAAGCATTCGATTTAATCCTTGCAAGATAAATATGAATAGCTCATTTTCACATTAGGCTAAATTTCTGAAATGTGAAAAACTTGCCTTTTGGAAATAATTAGAAAGTTGGAAGCCCAGAATTTGAACCTGGAGAACACTTCTCAGATAATAAATATTTAAGCTGTGACTTGGAAGCTCAGTAGGCTTAACAAACATCAAAGGTAGAAAAGTATGTTCCAGATTAAGAGAAAAGCTTGAAAAAAGTCATGAAGGTTGGAAAACTCAGGTTTTGTGTGGAGAAAAGATCGTGGTCTATTAATGTCCATGTAATTTAATGTCAGAGTGCCTAAAGGGGACTAAAGCTAGAGAAGAGAGTAACAGTGGGATTGTGGAAAGCTTTGCATGCTTGAGAAGTTTGAGCTTTATCTTATAATGAAAAAATCATTATATAAAGGTTGTAAGTGAAAATCCAATAAGATTTTTGTTTGTTTTGTGCATTTTCTGTTACTTGTAGCCCAGCCAGGCTACAAATAGCTGATGGATATGGAGGGGTTGAGGATGGGAAGCTGGGAGATGGGGAGCCCAGTTAGTTAAGATGCCATTGCACCAAAACAAGTGAAGGACGCTTAAAGCCAGAGTAGGAACATGTGAGAATGGGGAGGTATATATGGCTTCTAGACTTTGCTGAGGTGTAACTAGGAACCTTTATTTATATTTGTGTTTGTAATGATAACATAGGAAATAAAAGCATAATATTATATACTCTAAGTCAAAGCATTAGTGATTGACTTAATTATCTAATGTTCAACTTTTAGTGAAATTTATTGTTGGTTCTGCCCACTGACTCTCTCTTTCCATAGTCTTCATAGAGAGACTCCCAAATCAGGCATGTTCAGTGCTAACTTCTCTACCTTCCACCCCACTGTGTTCATCCTACTTGGCATCCGGGACTGGAGAACTATCACACCTGGCTTTCTCACCCCTTTTGCCTCATGTACATCACTGAAGTGTTGGAAAATGGAACCCTCATCCTTGTTGTCTTCAGTGCATGCACCCTCCATGAACGCATGTATGTCTTCCTATCCATGTTGGCTGGCACTGACATCCTGCTGTCCACCACCACCATTCCCAAGGCCCTGGCTATCTTGTGGTTTCATGCTGGGCAGATTGCCTTTGATGCCTGCATCGCTCAGGTGTTTTTCATCCATGTTGCTTTTGTGGCTGAGTCAGGTATCCTGTTGGCCATGGCATTTGACTGCGTTGTGGCCATTTGTACTCCCTTGAGATACACAGCCATCTTAACTCTGATAGCAATTGGAGAAATGACTCTGGCAATCTGGGGACGAAGCACTGGGACTGTTTTCCCTATCATATTCCTGATGAAGAGGCTGCCATACTGTCGAACTAATATCATCCCCCACTCATATTGTGAGCACATTGGGGTGGCCAGATTGGTCTGTGCTGACATCACTGTCAATATCTGGTATGGCTTCTCAGTGCTAATAGCATCAGTTTTGGTAGATGTTGCACTCATTGGTATTTCCTACACTTTGATTCTCCAAGCTGTGTTTAGACTTCCTTCCCAGGATGTCCGGCACAAGGCTCTCAATATGTGTGGTTCCCACATTGGATTCATTCTCCTCTTTTTCATCCCATCCTTTTTTACTTTCTTGACCCACCGATTTGGCAAGAATATCCCCCATCATGTCCACATCCTTCTGGCAAATCTCTATGTGTTAATTCCTTGCATGCTTAGTCCCATCATCTATGGAGCAAAACCCAAGCAAATCAGGGATAGTATGGCTCACATGTTATCTGTTGTGGGGAAGTCTTGAGAAAGTTTATGTTTCTTTCACAGTTTTCTCTTATCAGCAGGAGAAAAAAGAACTTAGCAACCGAGTTATCAAGTTTAGGCACTTTAGTGTACCGAATCAGAAAGTACATAGGCTTTGGAATAAAATGTATCTAGATTCAAATCCTGGTTCATTTACTTCCTGATTTTTGACCATGATTAGGTTCCTACCTTTTGGAAATTTAGTCCTAACATATAAAATAGAACCAATCGTACCTATGCTGTAAGAGTTTTGTAAGGATTAAAATTTATAAACTACTTGGTACATTGCTCAGCACTTAGTGGGCTCTCAATGTTAGCTATAATTCTAACTCGAAGTTTGTTACCCAAGGAAGACGGTTTAGATTTGATGTATGTGAGATTTCCAATATTTCCAGAGGCTGCTCTGCCTTCTGCTTACCTCCCAAGACTGTATTATAGCCATCATCATCTCCAAATTATTGCCATCATAACTACAAGTTTGCTGTATGAATCCATTTAGGTAATAGATATAAAAGAATGCTCTAAAAAATTAAACTGTTGAAAAAGACTAAGGTTGGTATTGATTACATTTTATATGTAAAGAACTATCACCATTATTATATTAAAGAAATTTCTTAACTCCTGCAGGAAATGGGTTGAGTGACACAGACACAGGCATTGCCCTTAGAGCGTTAGTTGTCTGAGTTGGACACATGAATGAAGAGCAAGTTATGGGGGTCCAAACTGATAATAGAAGAATACGATACAGCAGACAAATATTCAGATGTTAAAAAGAGCAAGTAAGCTAATACTCTATGATTCTATGTCTTCTTCTATATCCATACATTCCCCCTGAATTAGAGACAGTTATATGGCTTTATATTCTATTCCGTTCCATTTGGAGTGATTTCCAAATTGATATCTCCAGGCTTGACTTTTTCTTTGAAATCCACATTCCTATATTCAACTGTTTCTTGACATCTCCAGTTATATGTCTTGTAGGCATCTCAAAATAAACATGTCTGTATTAGGATAGCTTAAGGTATGCTTTATTTCAGTTAATTAACAAAACGAAGTTCATTCCGCTCTTATTTAATGTATAGTGTATATCAACAGAATCTATTCTCCATCAGGTAGCCAGGAATCCTGGATCCCTCTGTCTTGTGAAGTGTTGTCATATCACCATGCATTTCTCTAAGTTGCAAAAGCAGGGAAAGAGAGGGAAAGGTGAGACACTCCAGTTATTAATTGCCTTGGTCTTGAAGTGATTTGTCATTTTTGCTCACATTTTCCTTGGTGCGTATGTTGTTTTAACAAGGCCACAACTCAACTGCAAGGGAAGGTGAGAAATGTAGGGGAGCTCATGGATTTGCAGTGAATGCTCATTGTCTGTACACTTGATCCATCTGTGCCTTTGATGAACATGAGGCACACAATGGTCAGTAATTCATAGCAATTTTGAAGTCGCCATTGGGCAGACACTTGGAAGGCTCTATGCCCTGGGTTTGGGAGAAGTTTCTCTTTTTGGGGGGGATTGGTGGGGGGAGAAGTTTTTTTGGTAGACTAACAGAAACTCTTGTGTCCATTTGTCACTGTGATCCATGGAAGCATCTCTCTGGAAGCTTCTTTCTTTTCTATTATCTTCTTAGGTCATATCTAAAATGGAAATTGGGGAATATATCCTTCTTGGGGACAACAGAGTTTTCTAAGTCCATTTTCTGGTGCTGAAAAGTTGGGTCCCAAGAGTTAGGTTAACTCCTAAATAGTTAAGGGATTTCTCAGCTGAGCTCTTGGTTTTTTGGCAATATATGTTGATTAAAAACCTAGTATGTTTCTTATCTATTTGGTTTCACTTATGTGTCACTAAACACATCCCAAATCTTATAAACACATAATTCTCCAATTTTCTCTATTTTTCCTTTTATCACTTCCATGTATGTCTCTGAACAAAATGGAGGCTAATTTGGGATTCTGATGACTTTGTTGGAAGGTGCCACCTTTAATTTGACCTTTGCTCAGCCGCTTTATTCATCTGAGATGTTTATTGGAGAGCACACTCATAACATGATCTTTATCTTTAGGCAATTTAATTTACTGAGAAATTTTGCTTGAAGCTTTAAAAAGCCATTTCTTACTGTTTAGAAGCAGTTATATTAGGATATGTGGCAAAGAGGGATTAAGGTTGCTAATCAGCAGATATTTTCTGAATTATGTGTGTGGGGCAATGTCATCACAAGGACCCTCATAAATGAAAAAGGCAGGCAGAAGGGTAAAGCATCACTGAAACAAGTCAGACAGAGAAAGACAAATACTGTATGACATCATTTATATGTGGAATCTAAAAAAGCCAAACTCATAGAAACAGTACAATAGTGGTTACCAGGCATGGGGATGGGGGATGGTTAATGGGGAGATGTTGGTCAAAGGGTACAAACTTCTAGTTATAAGGAAGTAAGTTCTGGGGATCTAATGCACAACATGGCAATTACAGTTCATAATACTGTATTATATCCTTGAAAGTTGCTAATAGAGTAGATCTTAAGTGTTCTCACCACTAAAAAGAAACGATAATTATGTGATGTGATGGAGGTGTTAGCTGACACTATGGTTGGCAATCATTCTGTAATATATAAGTATATCAAATCAACACATTGTACACCTCAAACTTCCACAGTGTTATATGTCAATTATATCTGAATAAAGCTGGGGAAAATAATGCTTGGAGGAGAGCCATCAGTAGTCTTTTTCAATCTGCAATATCATCATTTTTTTTCATTTCTGTATAAATAGCAAATAATGTTTTATTGTGTTAAATATGTGAAAATTTGAAGTATTAATAATACAGTCACTGAATTAGTCTGATTCTTGGAATTTTGGGATGTCAAGAAGCATATCTAACTAACAATTTTATGAAGATTAAATGAGATTGTGTTTGTGGCAATTTTTAAGCTGCCAAATACTCTGTATAGGGCATCGCTATTATTCTTATGCTCCTGCCAGGTGGAGACATGAAAGATTGGGTTAATCGCAAGGCTTTTTCCATGACTGCCTCTCTCCTCTTCCTACACTCTGGAGTCTAAAACTGCTGATCTTCGGTTGAAGCATCACCCTGACCTGCTGAAAAAGGATGCAGCTTCTCTTCTTACAGCTGCTTCTCATGTTTACCTATCCCAGTTTAAGGGCTGATTACTTGTGGCTTTGCTGTGGGTTTTCAGCCTCCATGTCCTGCCCTGCATTGAACCACTCTGGCTGATCACCTCATGGTTCCCACCACTGCTCCATATCCATCCAGAATCTGTCCTCTAAGGAGCTGATGCCCAAGTATGAATTCATCCATAAGCTTCCTGAAGGCTCCCCTCAGTGAATGGTCCAGAACATTTTTTTTTTTCGATGCACTGGAAAAGATTACATTTACTACTGTCCTATGACACACAGATTTTGTTAGGCAGCTGTGGAGTGCAGAATCCTGTGCTAGATACACTGTTTTATTTACAGTTTCATTAGAGAGGTAAAAACAGAAAACAATTATCTAATCTCTACGCAAAGAGTATGTGGAATCATTTGTCCAGGTTTTGCGTTTTATTGCAAAATAACTTTAAATACCTCTATGTGGATTGTACATTCAAGGCACATTGTCTGCTATTATCTTTTAATTTTATCAATATCCTAGTTACATAGGGAAACAGGGACCATTCCCAATGTACAAATGAGAAAAAAATAGGGAAGTTACATAAGTCACAAAGGACACTGTTCTGTCTTTTGGGTTGCAGTTGACCAAAATAGAACACAGGTTGTAAGCAAAATTGGAACCTATGAGCTTGAAGGAAAGATTTAAAAACTAGACTGTAGGAAGGTCAAAGACGTTAAACCATAGGAAGGACTGGAACTAGCCCTGTTCAACTATCATCTCTATTTTCTCAGTGTAGTAGTTATGTATCATACTATAGGTTGGTTTTCTCTATAGCCTGGAAATACCGTTTCTGTGGGTTACATTTAAAAATTTTGTCTACTGGAGAGTGACTGCCTAAAAATTTTGGAGAAGGATCTCCTTGGCACAGTTGAAGTCAGATGCCTACTCCTAGACTAAAATGTTGTGAGGAAGGAGTGGTGCCTCCTTGTCAACCATATGAGTAGGGAGGACATTTTTCAGAAAAGCAGTTACTGAAAGCTAACTGTCAGCTACAGTTATGTGGCAGATCAGAGGCAGAAAGGCAAAGGATCTGTATCTTTTGATTTTTAGAGACTTTGTTATATAAGTGTATTTATATGTTTACTGTCTATAGTCCCTTTCAGACTGTAAACAGTATGGGGGTGAGGTCATGTCTTCCTTGTTTATTACTTCATCTCCAGTATCTCACACTCAATCAAAAAGGCTCTGTCATTCTTCTTCTTCTTTTTTTTTAAGTGAACACTATACCCAACATGGGGCTCAAACTCACAACCTCAAGATCAAGAGTCACATGCTCTACCAACAGAGCCAGCCAGGCACCCCAAAAGCTCTATCATTCTTTCACCAAAGCATATGAATTAGAAAATAGGGGAGAAAGAGAGAAGAGAGGAGAGAGATACTTACTGAAGGTAGTTTATAGTTTTCTTTTGAAATTAATATTATTTCATGAGAATTTCCCCTTGTAGTTATAAAGTCTTTTTTTAAAAGATGTGTTTATTTATGAGAGAGAGAGAGAGAGAGAGTGCATATGAGTGTGGGGGGGGAAGGGCAGAGGGAGAGAATATCCAAGCAGACTCCGCTGAGCCCGGAGCCTGACTCGGGGTTTAATCCCAGGACCCATATATGCTTTTTGTTTTCTATGTGTCTCAGGTTCCTCTGGTTTTTGTTCCTCTTTTACTCTTCTACTACCATTTTACTTATTTTGAATGAAGTAAATATTTTTAATATACCATTTTAATCCTTTGATTCTTAAACTATGTTTCAGTTATTTTCTTAGATACTGTTTTATGAATACACCTCTTTTTTATCACAATTTTTATGAATAAAAACTTGATTCTGATAAAACATAAGAA